GGAGCTGCGTTTTGCTGTACAGAGTGTTCACAGAATCCTGTTACCCCACCCCCCCCCTCCCACCCATTTACAAAACAGTGATATGAGGCACAGAGGAGCTGAAACAAACTGTCAGAGGTGCATTTCTCCCTCATCACTCCATCATGTTACTGAAGATGTTGCACCGAATATGGTGATGGTCATTATCTGCCATGACAATGATGGCGTTCACACTCATTGGTGTGAGCATCAATGATGGTGTGTGAGCACAACTGTGTTTAGACCGATGTGAGCACCATCAACGCTTGTACTGAATACGATTAAGTATTGTACTTCTAAATACATTTATCATCATTCTTCCATGTGTTTCAGTTGTTGCGTCTGTGTAAAAAAAACATAGGGTAACAGGATTTTGTGGACACCATGTACAAGCACAGCACATACCTGATCCAAGCTCTTGGTGTTTGGAGTAACATTGCACATGCCTGACCCAAGGTACCAATCTTGAGTCTTGATTAGCTAATTCGACCCTTAACAGCCATGTTGACAAGAGCAGCTCAACTACCAACAGCTGAACCCAGTCCTCCTATTCACTACCAAAGTTATAAATTTTAAGGTTTGAAGTAGCATTAAAATATTCGTCGGCTAACAGCAGAACTGTTTTCCAGAAAATTAGTTCACACTTGAGTTGCCTGGAGATAAATTAGCATCTAATACAATGTGACAAGCTGGATTTATCATCTGGGTGCCACCCGACAGTCCACGTACAGATTTGTAGAAAACTGCAGTAACTAAACATATTTGGGATGGAACTTGTTAAATCAGAGAGCTTATCATCTCTTCTGTCAGCCAAAACGGTGTCCTCTATGTCCCGGTCCTGACAGACCTCATTTATGTAGCTCCTTTCACGGAAGGAAAACATCTCAAAGAGCTTGACAACAATCTCGCGGGCCACATCCGGCCCGAGGGATGATTTCATCACACCGGCTGAGAACGCAGTCACACTGTGTGACTGGAGCCCAGGCTTGGTCTGACCTCTCATAGAATCTTGCAGTGCAGAAGAAAGCCATTTGTCCCATCGTGCTGTGCCAGCTCTTTGAAAGAGCTACCAACTAGTCCAACTCGCCCGCTCTTACCAGGCGGGAAAACACCTGCTTAAAGTTTGCATTGTTTTTAAAATATAGCGAAATTGAGTCATACAGTTACAGAATGTAAAACAGGATTCTCTATGATTCTTACGGGTTATGTTACTGGAAGGAAACACAAAAACATTGCTCATGGGCCCCTCAGACGTTTCTCAAATTTGGCATCCGGCTCTCAGCAGCCAAAACGTTGGACCGCCTTGCCTTAGAGGGTTTTTAGATGGGTTTCACAGATTCCTCTTCTTGTGAGGGAACTTCTCAAACATTTTTCACCTTCCCAGGCTTGGCCACCTGTGTTCTTTCTGTGTTTGACCACTGTGACAGGTTGACTTTGCAAATAGAAATACGTTTTGTCATTGAAGTATTGGGAGGACCAGAAAAGGCCATCAAAGGAAAAGAAAATCTCATACTAATGAAGCTTTGATTATCTCAGTGCCACAGGTTGAAAGTACCATTAAAAAGTTGCTCAATGGGACATGTACCTTAACCTCTTTGTTACCCTCGTGGAGTCTTGTAGCTCAGTGGTTAGAGCACTCGCCTCGCAAGCGAGAGGACGGGTTCGGTTCCCGGCAGGGCGAAACATTGGACTAGTTTCCTTACTCCATGCAGGTCTGTTTACCTGTAAGTAGGAACCCGGTCGTTAGTCGATTGGCGGATCGCTTTGCCGGGGGTAATAATCCCTTCACAAAAAAAAATTATTTGGTCACTTAATCCACGACTTTTTGTTGGACGCTGCTGTGCGCAATTGGCTGCCGCATTTCGTTCACGAATATACAGGCAATTCACTTTACAGTACCTTCTGTGAAGCTCTTTGAGACGTCTTGAAGACGTGATAAGGCACTATATCAAATGCAAGGATTATTATTATTTGTTGATGCAAGGCGCTCCTGAAAGGGCCACACTCAGTAAATATGTTCCCCACAGATGTTTACTGATTATGTATAGCGGCATCTCTGGGCACTGAGGGCTTTCAGGCCCCTAACCTACACGTAGGGAACCTGTTGTTGGGAATCTGCTGGTGGGGAGAGGTTGAGAGATATTCATGGGTAGCAGTGAAGGAGGACAATGTAGGTTGAAGCCAAACCAGCCAATTGCTGGACTGTGCCCAGTGTTAAAATAAAGTTGAAGAAACTTTTGGACCTTTCTCCCTGTCCATGTACCAGTTGAGCTCTTGACTTTTTATTAATGATACCACCACCCACAGTGTTCAAACATACTAGAGACATTGATATTCAGGAACTCTAATGATAGTAATTTGTAGGGACTTAATATTATGATGAATGAGTCTCGCTTATCGGAGATGGGCTAAATGCCACAGCTAACGTTGTGAGTGTTCCAGCCTGCAGTTCCTGCGGTTGTCTCTCATCAGTGTAACATACGGCTCACTTCCAGCCAGTTAGTATTCAAAAAAGGAAAAATATTTCACGCAGTGAGGAGGCCAGAATAAAGGAATGCAGAATATTCTGACCAGAGGAGGCAGGGGCAGCTGAGAATAGATAACAGGCGTCTGCTGGGGAGATATGTGTGGTCTGAGGTTTCATTGCTTTGGGTCTGATTGTAAATGAGGCACTTTGCTCATCTATCAAATCCTCTTCACTCATATTTTCAGCTGGATCTGTTCACATTTTGAAGACGGAGGTGGTTGGTATTTGTTAGGTATTAAGGGATACGGGGCAAAGGCGGGCAACTGAACTTGAGGTACAGATCAGCTGTGAACTTATAAAATGCCGGAACAGGCTCGAATAGGCTGAATAGCCTACTCCTGTTTCTATGTTTCTTCCATTTTCCAAATCCACAATATTTTCTCCTTTAAATTTATTTCCAGCGAGGCTCAGTTCTACAGGCAGTTGTATCGTACCCAAATAATGATTATCCTGTGTAAGTCTAGACAGTTAACTTTCTTAGCCGGGCCAGCAATTGAGATCATAAAGGAACTTGGGATGGGGATCCTGATTCTTCTCTAGAGACACACTGTGTGTGCCTGTGCTGGTGTGGACCTGATCGGGCTCGCCTGTGATGGCTGATCCTTTTCCCCCTCAATCCCCCTGCCTGCCCATGGTGAACACCTAACCAGTGCTCAATGTCAAGGCTCACATTAATTGGCTACTTTAATGAGTTGCCAGAGGAACTATGCATCTATCAAAAGAGATGGTAAAATAATAACAATACTTTTGTTTTTGCTATAGCGCCTTATCACATTGTTGATATATTGTATATTGTAAAGTAGAGTGACTGTGTATTTTGTGGGCGAAATAAGTGGCCAAACTCCCTCAGGAAAGGTGGAGGGGAAACTGGCGAGTTAATTGTTTTAAGAAAATGTCATATATTTCTCTTAAAAGTTTTTGAGGGAAAGATTTTTCAGTTGGAGGTTTAGTTTCTGGTCGGAGGCAGCACAAGCACAGAAATTTTTAAAAATCCAGGATTCGGCTTTTATCTGACTCAATATTTGAAGAAATGAAAATTACCATTATTCATACAGTTGTTTGTTCGGCTGAAAAAGTGGTTCACTGGGAGAAGCTTGAGGCAGGATTGAAAGTATATTTGAAACAGAAACAGGCTGTGTAATCTTCAAAGCCTCTCTGCAGCAAATTATTCCTTCTCTTTAAATAAAAACATCACATCAACTCGATGAATGTGGTCTTTTTGGAGGTCAACTGAAGTAATTACAGCAATGCTACAATTGAAAATTATACTGGTGTCTGCTTTTATTTCCATTTTATTGATATTTTAATAAAATGCAAAGAATTCTGCTTTACGTATCTTAATAATATAATTTTCTGAGACTAGTCTCGGATATGCTTTTGGCTTGGGAGTGAGTTTCCACAAGGAATGAGGGCATGGTTATTAAAATATATTTGCATCAGGCATGAATGTATCTCCTTTAAATAGACTTTCTCAAAGGCATTGGTGGGATCAAATTTCACATGGGTGTAGATTTACTCTATTAACATAGCATGTCAAGATTTTGTCAAATCCTCAAATGCCGTCTTAATTGGAAAGCTGTTTTCATGTGATTCTTGTAGCTCAGTGGTTAGATCACTTGCCTCGCAAGAAAGAGGACCTGGGTTAGATTCCCGGACAGGTTGAAACCTTAGGCAAGTTTCCTTACTCCACACGCATCTGTTTATCAAGCGGTAAGTAGGAACCCGGTTGTTGGTCAATTGGCGGATTACTTTCGGAGGATATTAATCCCTTAAAAAACTAATAATGATGATTTGCTCACTCAATCCACGACTGTTTGTGGGACGCTGTTGTGTGCAATTGGCTGCCGAGTTTCGCCTACAAAATGCACAGTCAATTCACTTTACAGTATATTGTGTGAAGCGCTTGAGACGTCTCGATGACATGACTTAATAACGTTTGATCAAATTATTATTGTTATTTTCCTGTAAATTCTTTTAAGAACTGCAGAAAACGGACTTTCAAGCTTAGATTGAATCCACCAATTTGCCAAATTGTACACACCCGAAAATGCTACATAAATAGGGTGAATCTAAAGCAAGGTGTAATCTCTACCCGTGGGTCCTGTCCTGTCAATTCTGTCACTGCTGGGCTGCTTGTTTGTGGTTGAGGCTGTTGCCCATTCTGGAGCTCACATGGCACTGTTTGAAACGTGCAATTGATGCCCGCGCTGAGTGTGAGGAATATCAGGATGTTTTGTCCTGACTTCACTCGCGCAGCACAGTAGTCGCTCCAAAGAATATGATTCCTGTGTAAAGCCGTCAACAAATTCAGGGGTCCCGTTGGTTTGTTCTTAGCTCTGTATTTGGTTAAAAGTTTGACGTTTTTTTGCAGAAAATGCTGATTGTATGTTTCTGGCGGCTGAGCTCAGGGTCCATGCGCCATGTTCAGAATCCTTTTATTTTACCCACTTTTCAGGTCCAGTGACCAATGCCTTCCTGACCACAGCCCCCGCAAACATGTTGAACCCCGATTGCAAGCCGAGCGTCAGCCTTCCGAAGTTCAGCCGCCACATGAGTACGTCTGAAGCTGCCGAGGGTGACGAGGCAGGAGCTATCACCCTCAGCCTGCAGCGTGGCAAACAGGTAAGCCCTGACCAGCTGCGAGTGATCCTTGGGGAATGACAACACCGTTTTACATTCAGATTGCATCTTCCACGTTAGGGAGGGCATCTCAAAGTGCTTCACAGAGCTGACGAGGAACCTGGTGGTCCTAGCTGGACAAGCAGCAAGAAAGCTTGCCTGTCACCAATATGAATGGCAAGCTGTGCAGTTTTAACTGGTTAGACTCCAGCAGTTACCTCAAAGCACATTCTGGGGTCACCCTAAGCCTTGGCTCTTTCCAACCTGCACCTAATATTTTTCGGAAGGAGAGAGAAAGTGCGCATTCCATTCTAACAATCAGAATATACTGTAAAGTGAACTGACTGTATATTTTGTGGGCAAAAAGCAGCAGCTAATTGTGCACAGCAACGTCCCATAAACAGACGTGGATTGAAGTGACCAAATTATTGTAGAGGTGGGATGAGGCCGTGGAGGAATTTGATGGATTCAGTTGTGATGGTTCATAGAATCACAGAAGGAGGCCATTCGGCCCATTGTGTCTGTGCCGGCTCTTTGAAAAGAGCTTCCAATTGAATCCCAATTCCCCGCGCTCTTCCCATAGCTCTGCAAACTTGTCCTCCCCAAATAATTATCTACTTCTCCCTTAAAAGCTGTTATCGAATCTTGCTTTCAGGCAACGCATTCCAGATCCCAACAACTCGCTGTGTGAAAACATTTCTCCTCACCTCCCCTCTGTTTCTTTTAACAACTATTTTAAATCAGTGTCCTCAGGTTACCGACCCACCCGCCAGTGGAAATAGTGTCACCTTGTTCGCCCTATCAAATCCCCCCATAATTCTGAAAACTTGTATCAAGTCTCCTCTCAACTTTCTCTGCTCCAAGGAGAATAATCCTAGTTTCTCTAACCTCTCCTGATAACTGAAATTTTCTGGCTCTCTGCTACATCATTTGTTACAGGAAAAGGTGGTTCATTGATTTAGATTGAACGGTGGCTCAGGTTTGCCAAGTAAAACGACTCCAAGTCACATCAGACAGTAATTTTTATCACATCCCGAATCAATGAGAAAGTTACTGATGTTTGAAATGATTTGGTTTCTATTTTAAAAGAGAGTTGTTAGGGTCTGGAATGCACAGCCTGAAAGGGCGGTGGAAACAGATTCAATAACAACTTTCAAAAGGGAGTTGGATAGGTACTTGAAAAGGAAAAATTGGCAAGGATATGGGGAAAGAGTGGGGGGGGAGAGGGACTAGTTGACAGCTCTTCCAAAGAACCGGCACAGGCATGATGGCCTCCCTCTATGCTGTAATATTCTATGATTCTATGATGCTGGTCTATTCTGCCTGTGGTTCAGCCTGTTTTACATATGACTTTATATCCTGCAAATATGTCCTGCAGCTCAGTGGTTAGAGCAAGTGAGAGACCTGGAATCTATTCTCGGGCAGGGCGACATGTTGGGCAAGTTTCCTTACTCCACACGCTTCTGTTTACCTAGCCGTAAGTAGGAACCCGGTTGTTCGTCGCCTTGCCCGGGGTAATAATTCCTTCAAACAAAAATAATAATAAATTGGGCACTTCAATCCTCAACTGTTTGTGGGACGCTGCTGTGCGCAATTGGCTGCCCACAAAATATACAGTCAATTCACTTTACAGTATATTCTGTGAAGCGCTTTGAGACATCTCTAAGATGTGATAAGGCGCTATATCAAATGCAAGGATATTATTATTATGTCCATGTTGCCATTATAGATGGCTCAGTAATTCTACACAGTTCATCTCTACCCAGTGACAGCTATAATTTGTGGACAAACCATTTTCTGTATCCAAGCACAGCTTCCAAGATTGTGGATGACCTTGATATGTCTGGATGTTTGATGCTCTGATGTCAGAGAATGAGTGATTACTGACTTTCCCTGTGTTTTACCAGAATGTAACTAAAGTGTAATGATGTGTAAGAATGGGTTTCATCCGGGAGTGTGTGTGTGTGGAGGGACGGCATTGGAGTCCTGTAGCTCAGTGGTTAGAGCACTCGCTTTGCAAGCGAGAGACCTGGGTTCAATTCCAGGCAGAGGGCGAAACCTTGGGCAAGTTTCCTTACTCCACACAGAGCCTAATAATAATCCCTCCAAAACCAAAAACAATAATAAATTGGTCATTTTCAATCCATATGACTGTTTGTGGGACATTGCTGTGCGCAATTGGCTGCCGCGTTCGCCCACAAATATACAGTCAATTCACTTTACAGTGTGTTCTGTGAAGCGCTTTGGGACGTCCTCCCGACATGAAAAGCGCTATATCAAATGCAAGGATTATTATTATTATTATTATCCCCACACGGCAACGTTATTTAATAGGCAAAACAGTGAAGAATGGGGCACTTACTGCTTGCAACTCAGGCCTGTAAAGGGGGAGTGGTGGGGGAGAGAGACAGGATCTCCAGCTATCATTTGTCAATGCCTGACTTCTAATGTGAGTGTATGACATGTTATAATCAGGTAGGCTTAATGTAGCTGCATCTCCCTGTGGACTCCTGTCTGAGAGTTGCGTTGTAAGTAGTCTCAACTTTCCTAGAGAACATGTTACTGGTAGATATTTCCGTGATCAGTATTTAGACCGCGACATGACATTCATTGCCGTTAAGTGTTAGTGTAATAGGCAGGAGCGAGACATTTAGCATAATTGGCTCTTCATTGCAATCACTTGTAACATTTGATGGGAATAGTATAATTACTGAAAGCTGTTTGTGTTAAAAAAGGCAAGGACGTGGTTCTACACAATGCCAGAAATCCCTGTTAGTTCCTATCAGATGTTGTTTAATGAGCTCCTTAACGCAGGCCACTGGAATCCACTGATTGTGTACCAATAAACTGACCTTTCGCTCTGGAGGCCAATGGCCTGTGCAGACCTCTCGACACATCATTCCCGATTGATTACTGATTTCAACACAGAGTAATAAGTACCTCAGAGAGGTTGGTAAAGAGGTTTCTGGGGTTCCATTGGCTGAGCTTTTGGTTCCACCTTTCCCTGAGGGACAGTTTCACAGACATTGGGCACCAGACTCCACCTCATCCAGGTACAGATGAAGCACTGAGGCAGTGAGTGTCAGTAGCCGTGCAAACAGCGAGACATCACAGCTGAGGTTGGTCCTGCCCTCAGTTCATGGCCACACACCCGCAGAGGCTCATAGAGTCATAGAATATTACAGCACAGAAGGAGGCCATTCGGCCCATAGTGCCTGTGCCGGCTCTTTGGAAGAACTGCCCAATCAGCCCCACTCCCCCGCTCTTTCCCCATATCCCTGCAAGTTTTTCCTTTTCAAGTACCTCTCCAATTCCCTTTTGAAAGTTGTTATTGCATCTGTTTCCCCCATCCTTTCAGGCCGTGCATTCCAGACCGTAACAACTTTCTGTGTGAAACAATGTCTCCTCATCTCCCCTCTGGGTCTTTTGCCAATAATCTTAAATCTATGTCCGCTGGTTACTGACTCGCCCACCCCACCCGCCAGTACAAACAGTTTCTCCCTGTCTACTTTATTGAAACCCCTCATAATTTTGAACACCTCTATTAAATCTTCCCTTAACCTCCTATGTTCTAAGGAGAATAATCCCAGCTTCTCTAGTCTCACCACATAACTGAAGTCCCTCTGTTAACTTTGTCACAGTTAATGTAATTACTTAAATGTGTTGCTTTGCAGTCCAGACACGTAATGCCACTAGATTCAGAAGTTGCACCTCATGTGTGAGGCTGCTATTTTCAGGCAGAGCTCTGCCAATAAGAATACGCTACCTAGATCTTTAATCTTTCCTTAACTATTCCAGCACTGCTTTCGTGATCATTTCCAACAAAATAATGATGAGCTCGTCTTTACTAGTGAGTAACGTAGCCTACCCAGGAGACTATCAGCATTACAACTTTTAATCCACCAGGAATAATTAAAGTCTCTGCCTATTTCACACATCAGGTACAGGAGACTTGCCGATATATCCACACTAATTATGACTGATCTCATTATGGATATGAAGACATTGTTGATATATCAGATGCATTATAATGTTTAGACTTAATCATAGCCATCATCCATCAGGAGGCATTTTGTCCTTATACACAGAATAGTCCCTCAGTGCCAGTCCATCTCTGTGTGTGTGTGTGGAAAAGCAAAGCTCCAAAGTACGGTTGAAGTCCTGTAGTTTAGTGGTAGCACACTCGTGTTGCAAGCGAGAGACCTGGGTTCGATTCCCGGGCAGGGCGAAAGGTTGGGTAAGTTTCTTTACTCCACACGTCCTGTTTACCTAGTAGGTAGAAGCCTGGTTGTTGCTCGATGGGCAGATTGTTTTTTCCGGAGGTAATAATCCCTTCATAAATAAATAAAATAATAATAATAATTTGGTCACTCAATCCACAACAGTGCTGTGTGCACTTGGCTGCTGCAAGGATTATTATTATATTATTATGGTGCTGACAAGTGTCTCTGGGTGGGGGGGGGGGGGGAACTGCTAAGTTATACCCTTGGAGCTCAGTTATACAGTCAGAAACTTGATATGCTAAAATATGCTAAGTTGTACTTTTGAAGAAGGACCAACATCTTGGGGCGATGTATATAGTATGTGCTGTTGTGATTTCTGCAGGCTGCTTCTCATGGCCCAAGGCTTTGTGGTGCTGACTTTTATGAGGAGTTTGGAGATGAATGCATTAGATGGTGTAACCTGAGCAGTAGCAGAATGGACACAACTCATCTATCGTTCTGTATCTTGTCAATTGCAGTTTAAGCTGTTTCCCTGATGGAAGTGATGAAGTGTCTGCCTACTAAGAGGAGTATAGAAACCACCTAACATCGTCTTTAGCAACAACAGTAAAAGTAATAAGCCCCACTGTTTACCGCGTACAGACTGTTCACTGCATAATATTGGTCACTCGTGAAGATTAATCTTCTCTTTGACATATAGACTTAATCATACAGCAAAACCAATAGAGTAGTGATAATGGGGGACTTCAATTATCCTAACATAAACTGGCAAAAAAAACAGTGAAAAGGGTAAGGAGAAGGAAAGATTCCTGAAATGTGTGCAGGATAACTTTCTGGATCAGTATGTTTCCAGCCCAACGAGGAAGGAAGCAATGTTGGATCTATTCTGGGGAATGATGTGGGGCAAATGGAGCAGGTAACAGGAGGAAAGCATCTGGACAAGTGATCACAACATCATTAGGTTGAGTACTTATGGACAGGGACAATCAAAGGTGAAGATACTCAACTGGAAGAGGCTAATTTCAATGAATTAGAAAGGGACCGAGCCAAGGTGGACTGGAAAGAAAGATTGGCAGGTAAAACAGCTAACGAGTAGGGAAGGAGGAGATATTTCAGGGACAGAACAAATACATTCCCACAAAAGGGAAAGATAGTGCATCCAAACCTCCCTGGATGAATAAGGAAATTGGAATAAAAAAAAACAAGAAAAAGGAGGCTTGTGATAATTGTCAGGTCCAAAATACAGAAGATAATCATAGAATATAGAAAGTACAGAGGAGAACTGAGAAAGGAAATAAGAGGTGCAAAGAGATTGTATGCGAAAAGATTAGTGCTTAACATAAAAGGGAAACCTAAGGTATTTTATAAGTATATAAAGAATAAAAGGTTAGTCAAAGGTATGGTGGGTCTAATTAAGTACCAAAGAGGAAATCTTCTTGTGGAGGCAGCGGGCATGGCTGATGTACTGAATGAGGACTTTGCATCTTTCTTAAACAGTGAGGAGGATAGTAACAGACTGCAAATGGGCATAGACAGACTGGTAAAATGGGAAGACACGGGGCAGATGAAGTTTAACATGGAGAAATGCGAAGTGATGCATTTTGGAAGGAAGAATGAGGAGAGGCAATATAAGCTGATGGTACAATCTTAAAGGGGGTGAAGAAGGAACAGAGAGACCTGGGGTTCATGTAAGTAAATCTTCGAAGGTGGCAGGACAGGCAGATAAAGCTGATACAAAAAGGATAAGGGATACAAGGCTTTATAAATAGGGGCATAGAATACAAAGGTCAGGAAGTTATGATAAACCTTTATAAAACACTGGTGAGGCCTCAGCGAGAGACTGTGTTCAATTCTGGGCCCCACACTTTAGGAAGGATGTCAAGGAATTGGAGAGGGTGCAAAGGAGATTGACCAGGATGGTACCAGGAATGAGGGACTTCAGTTATCAGGAGAGGCGAGGGTTATTATCCTTGGAGAGAAGGTTAAGAAGAGATTTAATACATGCATTGCCTGAAAGGCTGGTGGAAGCCGAATCGATAGCAACTTTTAAGAGAGAAGTAGATAATTATTTGGGGAGGACAAGTTTGCAGGGCTATGGGGAGAGCGCGGGGGAGTGGGGTTGATTTGGAAGCTCTTTTCAAAGAGCCGGCACAGGCACGATGGGTTGAATGGCCTCCTTCTGCGCTGTATAATTGTATGATTCTATGATATGTGTAACGTACTCATAGACTCAACCTCAGACTCAGTCTGCTCCTTATCTGGGAGGCATGGGCACTTGTTGAGCTGTGTGCAAGTCCGATGTGATTCTGGTTTCGCCCTGTTCCAATCTATTGAGGTGAAGTCGACTCACTGTATCAGAGCTCGAGAGACTCAGGTCTTACGGTATTATCATGTTGTCGGTCTTTAAAAACAGCCTTGTTCACAGTAATGTTGGGATTTGATGCCCTTTATCACTTTCTGTTCAAAAGGTCTAATGTATGTGAAGTAAAATTCACATAAGCCGTATCAGTTTAATATGACTTACCCAAAGTATGAGGTTCAGACAAACTTGTATCAGTTGGATTTTTAAATGACTAATGCATCGTTTTTCACCCACAAAGTATACAGTCAATTCACTTTACAGTATATTCTGTGAAACGCTTTGAGATGTCTAGAAGATGTGAAAAGCGCTATATCAAATGAAAGGATTATTATTATAAGTTTTTTGGCAGGAAACTGAATGGGATTCGGGTTCATGTACGAGTTAGACGATTATCCAAGACTTATGAGAGGTTTACTGTATTTGAAACAAGAATGGAGTTTCTCCAAGTGTCTTGGTCAGCAATCCCCAGATAAACTAATTGCTATGTTCCTATGTTCCGTAACATCACCCGACTCCATCACTACCTCACCCCTCAGGCCGCTGAAACTCTTGTTCATGCCTTCATCACCTCCAGGCTCGACTATGGAAACGCCCTGCGTGTCGGCCTTCCCAACTCTTCCCTCCACAGCTGCAGATAATCCAGAACCCTGCAGCCGTGTCCTCTCCCGCACCAAACTCCGTGACCCCATCTCCCCCATTCTCCCCCGACTCCATTGGCTCCCTATCCTTCAGAGGATCCAGTTCAAGATCCTGGTCCTCACGTACAAAGCCCTCCATGGCCTCGCCCCACCTTACGTCTGCGACCTCCTAACCACCTACCAACCCGGCCGCTCCCTTCGCTCAGCCGTCTCTGGCTGCTCCACGTCCTCCGGCCCATCCGCCCCACCATTGGGGTACCTTCAGCCACTCTGCCCCCAATCTCTGGAATTCCGTCCCCCAGTCACTCCGCCTCGCCCCCTCCTTAGCCTCTTTCAAGTCCCGCCTCAAGACCCTCCTCTTCAACCATGCCATCGATCACCCCCCCTTCCCCTCCCCTCCCTTCTCCCCCCCCTGACCCCAGCTCGGGTCTGAAATGCTGTTCTCTGTCCAGCGCCTTGGGATGTCCTCCCGACGTGAAAGGCGCTATACAAACGTAATCTTGTTGTTGTTGTTCCTAAACTGGTTGTTCACTTCATGGCTGTTTGTGGGACATTGTTGTGTACAAATTTGCTACCATGTTTACCTACAAATGCACGGTCACTCCACTTTACAGTAAATCCTGTGAAGGGCATTGAGGTGTTTTGACAGCACAATATCAAGTACAGAGAGTATTATTGTTATTATATTCTGGTTCAATATATTTTCTCCCCTAAATTTAGGCCAGATTCCCCTATTCAACAGCTTAAAACATTTGCATTGTTCCACTTGGCAACAGTCAGTGAAACACGCGGAAGCGAACCGTGTATAACTCAACAACAGCTTTTACTACAACCAAAATGATGGTCATTTGGTGCTTCTGGTGTACGTGGCTTTTGGAGTTTGGATTAAGCGCTCCAGGACGCTACCTCATGTGAAGGGCACTATATAAATGCAAATTGTTGATGTTTGGGTGGGGCAGGAGAGGCAATGACAGACGGGGCGGGGCGATTTTTCTACTGCTTTTATATGTCTGACTGATTGATGGATCCCCAGAGTTTTCCTGTCAATGATAATGTTGGAGCTGAATTTGTATGTCTCTTGACAGGATGTTTCAGAGAGTTGCCTGGCGAGGGCGGAGGAACTGTACCAGGTTATGTGTGCTGCCACGGACAAGGTATGTTACCTGAAATGTTTAAATTCAGTATTTGGGCGCAGTTTATGAGGCCTGAAAGGGCTAAAAGTTCAACAATGTGAGGCGTGTGTTGCTAAAGCAGAGGAGGTTAGTGTGATTGCTCTGGGTTTTTTTGGTCAGCCAGGTGTCTGACATGCTCGGGAACCCATCACTGTGCTTAAAAGTATCCAAATCAAACTGAGAACATGCATCCCATCTACACATAGAAACCCCAGAGATAGATTGTTGGAATGGAATGTGCTCTCTCTCTCTCTCGCTCTCCCTGGAGGGAAGCATTCTGACTGTCTCTATTTCTGGGTGTATAAATAAAACCAATAATCAGATGTGAAACTAGCTCCATGTAATTGGGAGTTAAAATCAGTTCAGTTTAAGACGACACAGATCTGCAGGAGAAGCTTTTATTGATGTCTTAATTGGTCTTATTGGAACTTTACTGGCTTCGAATCTTTTGTTCCAACTATTTAATCTGGTCATAGAGTGAATGCCTGTGAGCATCTCTGGAGCAATGAATCAGACACTATTTAGCTGTTAGTGATGTACAATCAATGAGCCGTGATTGCAAATGCTGGCACTGATGTGGTTTCCATCCACTGCCATAAACTAAACCCTGTGCTGGGCTCGATCTGTTTGGGATCATATTCTGTAGTTTCTCCGGTTCCTGACGGCCGAGGCAGCTCAGTGCCAACCCCCCACTGCCCCCCCAAATTTACATTCACATCTCAACACGTCTGAAAGAACCTGCGGAGGGGAAGAGAGACATCTTGAAACTTGAGAAAGAACTGTTTGTGCCCAACCGCTCTTCTTTGTAGCTGACTTGGCAATCCTACAGCTGTGAAGTAAGAGCTCAAGGGAAAAGTTCAGAACATACACAAATTCCTATCTTCCACTCGCATACAAATCACTTCATGCCCGGCACCTCCTTGCCTCTCGACCTGCTTACACTCCACTCCTCTACCTGCACACTCGACCTCACTCAGTTGGCTCCAACCTTCTACAGGTCGCTTTCCTATGGAGAAAGGAAAGTGAGTTAACATTTCAGGTCCCCTCAGTTCTGACCCGAAACGTTGACTTACCTTCCTTTCTCCGGAGGTGCTGCCTGACCTGATGAGTGTTCCCAGTGAATTCTGTTTTTGTTTCAGATTTCCAGCATCTGCAGTATTTTACATTTTGTAGAGAGAGCTTCCCAATTGGGTTTGTTTTGCTTTTCTAGCAGCTCCTGGGTGATGGTGAGAACACGCGAGTGAGAGTAGCCGAGCTGGAGGATGAAGTGAAGACACTGAAGAAGATCAACAGAGACCTGTACGATTTCTCTGTTCAGATTCTGACTAAACAAACATAAGCAGAGACACCGGACATGGACTGCTGCACAATATCTGGCAGCTGAGCATTTCTTTTTATATTACACATCTATATAAAAAAATAGATTTGTCAAACTGTCCTTGGAACATTTCCAGCCTTCTTTACAGGCTTCTTCAGAGAGATCAAGAGAATTGACTCAAACCATGTATGTCGATTGAGATGGGTAGAGTTGTAGAGTTCAGTGGGAGAGTGTGGACAGTGCTCTACACTCACCAGGTAATTTAGGTGGCAAATAACAGGAGGTTCTGAGGAGGCAGAGTTTCACAATGGTTACTTATAGAATAGGATATTACAGCACAGAAGGAAGACATTCGGTCCATCATGCCTGTTCCAGCTCTTTGGAAGAGCTATGCAATCAGTCCCCTCCCCCAGTCTTTCCCCAAATCCTTGCAAGTTTTTCCTTTTCAAGTACCTATCCAGTTCCCTTTTGAAAGTTGTGATTGAATCTGTTTCCACCGACTTGTCAATGACTTGCTTTTTTTGGATAAGAAATGTCAATACTTCATCCACTTTACAATCTAATTTGAATTATCAGTTTTATCCTCAAATGTTGTGAATTACAAAATTCCCACTGTGTTTCTCGGTCATGTCGTGCCTCCTCGTTGAAAATGTGAATCAATAACATTTATTGTGCTTTTTATTAAAAAAACTGTCACAACCCAAAACCAGGTGGGCAGAATTGACCTAAAAGTTGCCATTTAATATTTCCAGATGTATGAAGTTCTCATTTGCTAACGAGGATCTGGGGAAAAGGTTTGGTTGTTCTGAGAATCATTTGTTGCTTTACATTCCTCAGACAGTGTGGCTACCAGTTGTATGATGTGGCCAGTAACATTTCAGGAAAGGTCTTATCAGACCAGTAAATGCCTTATATAGTTCAGGGGGAAATAATCGAACGCAGGATTGGCTATTAATGATCCATCTCTCAGCTCTTTGAAGCCAAACAACAAGAATCCTGTCTAGGAACCTCTGAAAACATCAATAGTATTCATCTAATTCTCATCAGAATTGATCGCTGTGTCTGACTGGCTCCAGTGTGCCTGCCTATGTTCAGTGACTGTTATTGTGTTAGAGCCTCTTGTAGTGACAGTTACTTCTCCTTTCCTGGCCTGAACTATTCACACTTTCCTATTTATGCATTGTAATGTTAAGATGTAACTTTGGAGGTGGAGGGAAAGAAGGGACATTGTCCATGTTTGAGAGGCTCCCAAGTTATTTTGTGGCTGTTTATATTAAACTGGTCATTTCTGATCTCCTGGGTTTGAATGTCTCCTATTAATGGCTACACTGAGAGAACTGGTGTGATACTGTATCACCATCAAATGTGATCTCAAGCTCTGTTTGGGTAACCATTGTTCCCAAAAGCAGACCTCAAGTGAGGCTCTCAATGTGATCTCTGGGAACACATCACACAGCAGTCCCAGGCTTCCCATTCATCCCAAATCACATAATAATAATAATAATAATAATAATAATAATAATAATAATAATAATAATAACAATCCTTGCATTCAATATTGTGCCTTATCACGTCTTCAAGATGTCTCAAAGCGCTTCACAGAATATACTGTAAAGTAATTGACTGTATATTTGTGGGCGAAACGCGGCAGCCAATTGCGCACAGCAACGTCCCACAAACAGTCGTGGATTAGAGTGACCAAATTATTATCATTTTTTGTAAGGGATTATTATCTTCCCAACCTGGGCTGTAAGAAAAAAAACTAGCATCTTCGAGTCGTTGAAGTATCTGAAAGCTTCACAGAGAATTGTTGATAAATTTGGTGCCTAGTGTTTGGGAAATACTGAAGCCATTTCTTGCAGCAAAGTGCCACAAACAGCTGTGCAGTGAACCAACAGGGCTGGCAGAAAATCCCTTCTCTTTTCAAACAGAGTCATGGTGTCTGAACAGGTTGGCAGTACCTTGGTTTAACAACACATGCAAAGAATGCGATCTCTGACAGTGTAGTGCTCCCTGAGCACTGCACCCGAGCATCAACCTGGACTGGGAGCTCAGCCCTGATGTAGGGCTTGAAATCACAACCATCTCACCCAGAGGTGGTTCTACCGACTGAGCCAAGTTGACCTCAGAGGGTAACAATCGGGTGTGTTCTTTACTGTGGTGCAGCCCGTTCCCTCAGAGTTTTTTGCTTTCCCTGTTATTGAGCGGTATTGTTACAGAGACATGACAGTCCTATTACTCCCATGTTCTGTGTTTTTCTACTGTGCCCTGACCAACAACTGAAACATGTGGAAGAATGATGATAATTGTATTCAGAAGTCCTTCATCGTATTCAGTACAAGTCTTTAACTGTGTTTAGACGTCCAGAGAATCGATGTGAGCGAGTGTGAGCGCCATCATTTTCATGCAGATAATGATTAGTCGCCATGTTCAATACCACATCTTCTGTAACATAATAATAATAAATAATAATAATCCTTGCATTTGATATAGTGCCTTATCACGTCTTCGTGACGTCTCAAAGCTCTTCACAGAATATTCAGTATATTTTGTGGGCAAAACACGACAGCCAATTGCGCACAGCAGCGTCCTACAAACAGACGTGGATTGAGTGACCAAATTTTTTTTAAGGAATTATTATCCCCGGAAAGCCATCCGCCAATCGACTAATAACCGCATGGTAAACTGCTAGGCAAACAGGCGTGTGGAGTAAGCAAACTTGCCTAGGGTTTCGCCTTACCCAGGAATCGAACCCAGGACCTCTCGCTTGCGAGGTGAGTGCTCTAACCAGTGAGCTACAGGTGTCCTAGCTTATATTTAGAGCACTTGCCTGGATGGAGTGAGGAGGAAGTTACTGGTATCAGAACCTGTTACACTTGACTCGTGCAACCGAAAATAAAAATTTATTGTAAGAGAAAACACAAGGCGGTGGGGGAAAGGACTTTGTTTAAACTCTATGTAAAGGTCATTGGAGGAAAATGAGATTTTACATCACTCTGGCCATCGCTCCCCTTATTTATTGCTGTCCTCCTGCCAGAATAGATCTATGGTCAGCCTTTGTGCAGATTACACAATTGACTAAATCCATCAATGCAGAAATGAAATGTTTTAATCTGCTGGGATATTTTTATTTGTTCTGCTCTGCAGTTTTTTCTCTCATCTGAAGGCCACTTGTGCCCAGTTATTGTACCATGGACACTATATACCCTCTGGTGGACAAGGTGTGTTTGCGAATCTAGATAGAGTGATGGCAAGGTATCTTGACTGGGCATATGGCGACAAAGCCGATTTCTGACTGAACCTGACGTTCACATGTGCTTCCCAGCGGGAGCCTCTGCATAGTCACCAGGAAGAAGAAACTCGACTCGTTTTCTATTTCCAGAGTCTTAATGTCAGTGCTACCTTTTGAGATCAGCTAATTCAGCCCAGACCAGAGATCGAGTCTGAGATCTTCCTGGTTTATATGAGGGCAATTCCATCAGATATGGCAGTGGTGATCAAGCCTTGCATGGACTTGGGCATCACAGAGAATTGAGCTGTGGGTAAAAAAACAGGAGAAGTTCAGATTGGTCCAGAATTGGTGGTGAAGTGATGCTAAGAGGTAGAAGAAGAGGATAAAGTTCAGAGGAAAAACAAGTTTAGTATTAATAATAATAATCCTTATATTTGATATAACGCCTTATCACATCTTCAAGACGTCTCAAAGCGCCTCACTGGATATGCTGTAAAGTGAGTTGACTGTATTGGTAAAACAAAGACCAAATAGTGATGGAGAGAGAGAGAGAGAGAGACTGGTGGTCAGAGAAGGATCAGTTATGAACATTTAGCTGTTGTCCTGCCCAGAATGTGAGAAAGAAGATCCAAGAACCATCAAATATAGCAGTGGTGATCAAGCCTTGGATGGACTTGGGCATCACAGAGAGTTGAGCTGTGGATAAAAAAAATTCCTGGCACAAAAGAGATTGAAAAATGGTATTGATTCACGGTGTGTTTAGAGCTCGTTCACTCATGGCTTGTGAAGTGAATGCATGGCAAGCATATTGTATAGACCCGAATAACTTGGAATGACAATGTTTTATGAGAGTATTACATGGTTTGGTTTTGCATTTGGAGATGGGATTACTCATGAGCTTGGTATAAAGCAAATTGGAAGAAGAAAGTACTTTTCCTAAAATGAGTTGTGCTGCCAGAATCACAAGTCCAGGGCAGTTTCATGGATAGATGACGTTTTTCACAAATTCTTGTGCAATCTCCGCAACCATCTTACTCAACGGAAAACATCTCCAACAGGGAAATCGTCAAGTTGTTCCATTACTGGAATTTGCACAGAAAAAAAGTACATTTCAGTGGCTTATTGGAATCAGATGTCCTGTTTAGTTTGCAGTAGAAACCATTAACCTCTGGCAATGGTGAGACTTACACTACAAGTAATGAGGCGAGTGTGTAACACAATACAATAGTGATATTGATTGTCCCCATTCAACTCGAGGCCTGGAGCCACCAAGGCTGATAGCAAGAGCATCTCCATTCAAAGTCTGAGCTGTCTGATCTTTTCCAGGGCAGAAGAAAGAGGCCCACAAGTGACCTTGGTGCCCTGGATTACAGAGGGACCAAGTGACTGGGCCTCTATCAGTGGACTTCTGTAGTTCAGTGGTTAGAGCACTCGCCTTGCAAGCGGGAGACCTGGGCTCGATTCCCAGCAGGGCAAAACCATGAGCAAAATTTCCTCACTCCATAAGCCTAATAAGAATCAAGAAAAAAAATAATACTAATTTGGTCACTCAATCCATGACTGTTTGTGGGGCGCTGCTGTGCACAATTGGCTTCTGCGTTTCGTCCACAAATATATAGTCGATTCACTTTACAGTATATTCTGTGAAGCGCTTTGAGACGTCTAGAAGACGTGATAAGGCACTGTATCAAATCCAACATCAAGATTTCATTTATAGAGTGCCTTTCACGTCAGGAGGACGTCCCAAGGCGCTGGACAGTTGGGTCAGGACCCGAGCATTGGGGGGGAAATGGTCAGGGTGAGGGGAGGGAGCGAGGAGGAGGTAGAGAGTCGAGAGGGGAGCTGAAGGCTCGGTCAAAGAGAAAGGTCTTGAGACCGGCCTTGAAGGAGGAAAGGGAGGAAGCGGTGAAGGCACTGGGGATAGAGTTCCTGAGCCTCGGGGCTGAGAGGCTGAAGGCCCGGCCACCGATGGAAGGGCGGTTAGGCGGGGGGTGCGGAGCAGACCGGAGCCAGAGGAACGGAGGGTACGGGCAGGTACGAAGGGGGATAGTAGGTCGGAGAGGTAGGAGGGAGCAAGGCCGTGAATGGCCCTGTAGGTGAGGATGAGGATCTTGAATTACAAGGATTATTATTATATAATTATCCCCTCTTGTTGGGTGGGTGTATGTGGGAATGTGAGGCAATGATCCCACACAGTCAGATTTGGTGCTAACGCTCACTGAATGGTTGCTTGTTGCCGAGGTACCAGAGGGTATCAGTGAGAGGGTAATTCAGGCAGCACACGGTCAATGTCTTTGGGAGAGAGAGAGGAGAGAAAAAATGGAGCAGATCAGCCTCCACTGCCAGCCGGCTGGGGCTGGAGCACTGTCTTGTTTAATATAGTGTCATCTATACCAAAGCTTTACTCAATCAGTTATCTTAGATCTCAGCCTGAGGAAATCCAATCATTAATCAAACCCAATACGGGTGCTTTATAGACTCTGCTGTGAAAGGAGGTGTTTACATGTGTGAGTGCGACAGAGCACTTCGTGTTCACTTAGCCAGGAAACAAATCACAATAGAATTCACTCGGCCATTTATCAGCGGCAAAATACCCATTTCTACCTTATTTATTGAGGAGTTGTTTCAGCCGCATGTTCCCTGATGGGTAAAGCTGGGATTTTTACTGGTTATTGAGTGTTTATTAAAGCTTGGAGTCTACGGCCTGACCAAACTCACGTCCTCATAAAGTCCTCGGTCGGAGGTCTACAAGGGAAAGATCTTCTTGAAAATGTTTGGAAGTTGGTTAGATGTGGCCACTGCAGTATTTCTAGCCCTTGTCTTCTGCCGGAGCTTGTCTCATTGGCTCAGAGTGAAGCTGTGTCCCCTGGCAGTGATTCACATGCTCACCGATCGCTGTCATGTCGAGGACTCCTCAGTATCCATTACTTGAATACCTTGTGTGCCTATCCAGGCTTCCCAACGGCTTTGCTGTCAAAAGCTGTGGCTTGTGTGGAATGAAGCCTCCAAGGTCAGCAAGGTCTGGTTCAGTCTGGTAGCCGTCAGCAGCAAAGACCAGTCAGTGGCTGATTTTCCCTTCCCCAAACTCAGTGACACCCACGTCTCTGCAACCGTTCAACTCTCCCCAGAACTAACTCAGCAGAGACCAGACACAAACCTCTTTTCCCTTGGTGTGAGTGGGAGTGTGGGATGAGGACAGATACAGGCTTAATGATAGTAATAATAATAATAATCCTTGCATTAGATATATCGCCTTATTACATCTTCAAGACGTCTCAAAGTGCTTCACAAGGTATACTGTAAAGTGAAATGACTAAATTTGTGGGTGAAGCTCGGCAGCCAATTGCGCACAGCAGCGTCCCAAAACAGTCGCGGATGTGAGTGACCACATTATTAATTTTTTTCTTATTATTTTGAAGGGATTATTACCCCCAGAAAATCGATCCCCCAATCGACTAACAACCAGATTCCTAATCACCGGGCAAGATAAACAGGCATGTGGAGTCAGATGGAGAAACACAGGCCGTTGTGCCCTGGCTTGGTTGGAATGGTGGCTGTTGGCACTGGCTGCTCAGGCTCACATCTGAGGAATGGCTTCTTGCCAAGCGCCGGAGGGTACCCAGCGCTCTTGGTTCTATGATCTGGGGGAACTCGGGAGAGGAGCCGCGGTGGTAGCTTCGGGTGGGGGTGGAGCAGAGAAATGGTTATGTACGTTACTTGAATTAATGATATGAGCTCAAATTTACAACTCCCAACAGGAAAATCACATTTAATCTTCAGTTTGCAGCCTGCAGATTCCCAGTGAGAGAATCCCCTTCAGGGTCAAGTATAATTACTGCTGCAGGCTCAGATCCTCACTCCCCAAACAGTCAGTGAATGGAATTCAACCACATGTGGCCAGCAACAGTCTCTGCATGGACATCACTCACCGTCTAGCCTGGCTGGAACATTCAGAGCGAGGGGGTGGGGTGGGAAAGGAGTTTTGCTATTTGAAAAGGGGCCAGACAATGTCTGACCAGCCACCTGCTCCTCCTGTTGCTCCCTGCATGTGCCTATCAATCTTTTCCTATTTTCCAGTCTTTCCTTTCAAAGCTGTTGTCGTCAGCCCCTTCAAAATAATCACCCTCCACCATTCTTAACTCTCCCGACTACAATGCCAGCCCATTTCTATCCTTAGTTACTTGCCTTGGAGTGAAGTTGCTCCCCAGTGCCGAGATGGCTTTTGATTAAAATCACAAAGGATTTATTTTGTCTGCAACCAGGACTTCCTTGTCTTCCTCAACCTCTCTGCTGTCTAGAACACCATTGAGTATTCTCCTACCAACTCCCCTCGTGTCCATCTTTGTGAGAACAAACTTCCCCAGTTTCAATCCTACCTGTCTCATCGCCTCCACTTCATTTTCTCCAAAGGCTCCCCCCCCCCCCCCCCCCCATATCTCCTTGGTTCTTTCTCTCCTTTTCCTAATGTACATTAATGACATCATCTATAGACACAGGGTAAAATTCCACATGATACACTAATCTATATCTGAGTCTACCCTTGATTCTAAATCTACTGATGGTCTGACCGCCTGCCTGTCAGTTATCTTGTTCTGGATGAATCTCAATTTACTTCAGTTTGACATGGACAAACAGAAACCATGCTTGGCTCCCCTAAATGCCTCCTTATTTCTGGCTCCAATAATCTCAGTCAGTTGTTCTCTCCACCTGACTGAGCCTGTGTACAACAATTACATTCTGTCTGACCCTTAGCTCTCTTTCTTATCTCAAATCCAGTTCCTGAAAAAACTATCTTTCTTCATCTTTGCTTCCAGCCCTATCTCCCACACAAAGTAGCTGAAACCTTAGTCCATATCCATGGTTTTGTTACCTCCTTCCTGATGGTCTCCAGTCCTTCTCCCCAGGTCTACCCTTCAAGCTCCAGCTCATTCAGATTTTTGGTCGCTAACATCCTTCCCTGCACAAAGCTTTGTTTGCCTATTTTCCCTTGTATCTCTCCCATATAGACACTATATAAATGCCAATTCATCTTTACTAATAAGTACTCCCATTACACTATTTTTCTGTTTTTCTCCAATTCTCATTGCCTCAAGATAGAACTGACCCTCGGGTGTTGGTTCTAATGACCATTCCACTCTTACTGTGTGAATTGGTCAGCAGTGCAGCGCGTTCTGCTGGAGGGATTGGAGACATTGTTGGCCTAGCTGAACCACATTGACACTCGAGACTTCGCAATCTGCCCGGGTTGAACAACAACAACAACAAGATTACATTTGTATAGCGCCTTTCACAGGAGGACTTCCCAAGGCGCTGGACAGAGAACAGCATTTCAGATCTGAGCTGGGGTTGTGGGGGGGGGGGGGGGGGGAGGCAGGGGAGTCTCTGATAAGATAAGTAAGAGAGCTAAGGGTCAGACAGAATGTGATTGTTGTACACGGGCTCAGTCAGGTGGAGAGTCTCTCGGAGCAGTACCGGGTGTCTGGGATGGCTGGAGAACAATACCAACTGCGCTGAACAAGATCCCAAGCCTCCGAACACTGGAACATTCCCTAGTTGTAATATTTGGGGCTATAATTTCTGAGACATTTCGCATTAGTGACTGCTTAGTGATTATCCCACCTGCCAGATTCCATTTAACACTGTCTCCATGTTCTTGCGACAGTCTCATTTTCCAAACACATGACCCCGAGTGACTGAATAGCCCCTTGATAAATATTTTAGCTTAAAGCATCTTGAGAGAAAAATTAGCATCACCATTGCTTGTCAGTGTGCATTACCAAGGTTAGGTGACACCTGCAGTGAGACAGCCATGAATGGAATGCTAATTGGTACATGGACCGAACTTGGCAATTTCTTCACTTATCTGCTCCAGGGACTCAGTACCTTGCCACTTCCATTATTTGTAGGAGTCTATCCAAAACTGGCTACGCCTCGCAGTATATATTTAGTGTCTGGGAACTCATGATCTTGTTAGAGTGGCATAACTGATGCCAGCCTCAATTGGGATGATGTCAGCTCCCGTTCCAACACTGGAGACAAGCAGAAGTAACAAAGTCCCTATTATTAGCTGTCCAGCAAACACCAGATCCCCAATTCTCTGCTCTGAACCTCCTCGACAGCAGCAGTAAAACGGCACTGTTCTGGTAACCTGCCGCTCACTAATCTAAGGAATCATCTTTGTCCAACCTTAAGCACTGTTCCCCTATCTGGCCCTTCAGGTCTTCTCATATTCCATACAAAATCTTGTCTCTATTCTCTCTCTGTCTAATGCATTCCTTGTGACCATCACACCATTTCCTCCTAACTGATTCTTTCTCAGCAACTCAAGACTATGAATCTCCTGTGTTCCCTTGGTCCACGCTTCCAATCTACAGATATTTAAACCTCAAGCTCTGTCTCATCTAACCACCAATTCCTGATTTATCTTCTACAGTTTTCCCCCTGTTGTCCTGCTCTATGGATCTTGGTCTTTCACCTCCATTTCTGAATACATTTTAAAAAGGGTACAATTATGTTATGTGGAATGTACTGTGTGTTGGTTTTAGAAACAAATTAGAAGCTTCAAGTTTGGGTCTTTGTGAGAAAATTGAAGGACTGATCGAGAGGGAGGTAAGGAGAACGTGGTTGGGGTGGAACAGACAGGCGTAATGATTCTTTGTAGATTTTATGGAATACTGGCTCCAACTTCACATTAACTTCCAAAAAGTGTGAACGACAGGACTAGTGAGGAAAGCGCAGGACAATAGGACTGAATGGATTGCTCTGTAGAGGAGGTGGCACAGACACAAATGGCTTTCTTTTGTGCTGTAAATGTCTACGGTTCCTGGAGTGGAGGAGGAACACATCACCACTGGATAAGAATTCAGTCCAGGGTCCTTGGCTGCAGAGTCTTTAGTCACCAGAGATGTAGATATCATTCCGAATGCTTGAAGAATCTTTATTTACAGCTTTGAATCTTACCAACTTGTTCTCAATGAAGTGAGGAGCCTGGTGGCTGCTCCTAATGATCTCTCTCTGGTCCCTGAAAATGGCTATTCGAGTCCGTTGATGTGGAACCTGTAACAACAACAAAATTATATTTACACAGTGGGAGGACTGCCCAGGGCGCTGGACAGTCAGTGTTTCGGACCTGAGCTGGGGGTCGGGATCGGGGAGGGTGGAGGGCAAGGGGGGAAGGAGGGTGATCAAAGGCACGGTTAACGAGCAGGTGTGCTTGAGATTAACTTGAGATGGGTCTTGAGGGAGGGGATGAAACCTGCACTTTCTGAAATTTCTGCAATTGGGTGCCTTTGTGCCAATCGCTGCCAAAGTGTATCTTGGTCAGCGAGGCAATCTTCAGGTTCCTCGCTACTTGGTGGGGTGAAGGTCGAAGACAATGAGGGTTAATCGTCGGACGAGTTGGAACTGATTTCTTAATAATGGAACCCCCAAAAGGCTTAACTGTAGCTTTGGTCCTAGTTTGACACAGGAGAGAAGAGGTGGTCCTGAGGGTGGGGCCTGCATGTCAACCTCTGGAAATAGGTGCAACAGCTGGAGACTGGTCACTACATCTGCTCACTGTGTGTGAATACCAGCTCCAGGACAAGTCCAGCTTCATACCCAAGCTTCCAAAAGCCACATGGATGGGATTCAGCTTGGCTTTACTACCCACTTGTGTTATGGTGAGCAGGTGTCAGCCAGGGGTGTTTACTGAGCACTATACAGACCGCATACAGACATAGTGACAGTACATACACACTCATATGCATATCATACGCAGGTGTGTGGATAACATGGTTTGACACTAATTGTCTATAAAAATAAAGAATTTTCTGTTTTAATTAGCAATGCTCATATATTGAGATTCATCTGAGATTTATGTAAGATACTGGAGACTGAGTGCTGCCACTTGTTCTGAAAAAGCTTCAGTAATGACTGTTTACGGAATTATTGAATCTCCAATTATATAATGAATCTTCCCAGTAAATCCAGGAACATTTTATAGTTGGCTATTCCACGCAGACAATGAGCATAAATATATAAACACGCTTGGCATTCAAGCTGATAACCAAGTGTTGTGGCTTACTGACAATATTAATAACTGTAACACGCTCGAAAATGAAACACTGGGCTTCCTGATAAGCACCATCACTGAAAGGAATTGGTTTAATCACAAGAGAATTCTGAAAAAAGGAGGCCCATTGATCTCATCTTCACACAATAGTCGCTTCACTCTCCTCCCATTACAGCATGAAGCTGTTTCTTAAACCTCTTTGTCTCAGTCGTTCCAGTTCTGTGTACATATTGGTGTCTGTCTTAAACTTGCCCTTCACAATTCTCAGCCGGAGTTCTCTATCCGTTGCCTTAGCACATCTGAAAGCCTAATACTGGATTTACTTTCTCTATCCCATTAAGCATCTTTTTAACTTCCATTGGGTACCCTCTGAAATAATAATAATAATCCTTGCATTATATATAAATGCCTTATCACGACTTAGAGACGTCTGAAAGCGCTTCACAGAATATATTGTGAAGTTAATTGACTATATTTTGTGGGCGAAACGTGGCAGCCAATTGCGCACAGCAGTAAGAACATAAGAATTTAAGAAATGCTAGATGAAAAAAAGATCAAGGTCCATCTTGTTCGTCTTCCACCTTCCTGGCTGTCCCCTGCACATATGTCCCAAACTCCCTATGTCCTATGTCCCATAATGTTATTTCCTAAAAGAAAACTATCTAATCTGTGTTTGAAAGAATCAACATTTCCTGCTTCACCTGTCTCCCTAAGGAGCCTGTTCCACAGGTTCACTATTCGCTCACTAAAACAGTGTTTGCGTTGATTCCTTCGGAATTTACCCCCTTCAAGCGCAGGCCGTGTCCTCTGGTTCTACTATTCTGGACAAGTTTAAACAGTCTGTTATAATTTATAGTGTTTTGCCCCTTTAGAATCTTAAAGGCAGCAATCATGTCGCCTCTCAATCTTCTCTTTTCCAGGGGGATCATGCCCAATTTACTTAGTCGCTTCTCATAGTCCAATCCCTTTATTCCCTCTATCATTCTGGTTGCCCTCCTCTGTATCTTCCCGATTTCTCCAATATCCTTTTTGTACTGTGGCGACCAGAACTGTAGTCTCTAAGATGGTCTCACCAATGATATATACAGTGGCAGGATTACCCCACTGTTTCGACTGCTGTTGATCTTTTGATACATCCCAACATCTGGTTTGCTTTACTCACAGCCACAGAGCATTGTTGGGAGAGCTTCAATTTATTGTCAATCAGGATCCCCAGGTCCCTTTCATTTTCCATACATATTATTTTCTTTCCGTTCAAATAATAATCCCTAGATTTATGCTTAGCTGCTGTGCTTGCGGCTCCTAGTTCCACATCATTTATAACAGCATTAAAGAAGAGAGATCCCAAGGCAGCCCCTTGTGGGACTCCACTGGTAACATTTTCCCAGTTTGATGACATTCCCTGTACCACCAGCTTCTGGTCAACTAGTGTCCCAAATTAGGCTTGATTCCCTCAATCCCTTCACCTTACCCCCTCTCTCTCCCCCCTGAAGTCTCCCCTAAAAAAGTCTTCCTTTTTGACCGTGCTTACGGTCACCTCCTCCCCACCCCCGGCTCGGAGTCAGGCTCCGCCACTGTAAGTGCTTTGACCCTACCCTGCAAGTAAAGTGCAGTTGTCGTTGTTGTTGCTGTTGTAGTTGTCGATTGGAGTTTGTGAAAATTGGGCACCAGTATAAAGCCGGGACTAGTGAGAAGGGGGGAAGCTTCTGTGTCAAAATAAATCTTTTTCTCTTTTTTTAATTGTTAAAACTGTTGTACAAGCTTTGTGTGTGAAACGTGGCAGCTAATGTCCACGTAACAAATGTCACCTTCCAAGACAGAAGAGCCCAAGCCTTATCTAATTATCTTAGCTCATCCCTCACCCCCCACTGGACATGTTTCTGTGGTTGGGGGCTTGTCCTGCTGTAATGAGCGCACAGGCTACATGGCGTGATGCCGCTGGTGGGGTCTGAGGCATTTAAATGTCACTGGGTCGATAGTGTACAGCTCCCTAAAGGTACGTAACTCATTCACGGCACTTTTGTTGTCATTAATCTTGTCACTGTACTTGTCCTCATGTCGATGCACTTTGCAATGCGTCACTTAAGTCTCTCCTTACAATTGTGCGAGCTGGCCCAGAGCGGTACTGCATCTCCTCATACGTTGCATGTTGCGAGGAAAAACTCAGTGATACACCTGGGACAGGTTGCACGACTGTGTTCACTGTGTCCCTCCTCACACTCGTGCATTGTGTCTCACTCGAGTCTCTCGTGTGGTTTGTATTTGCTGATGATTTTCACCTTCATAACAGGAGACATGTCCAGGATGAATGCTTTCAAACCTCATCACGATCTAGCCTTTCGAACAATCTTGAGAGGTTTTGGAACAAATCTGTTGGGACTGAAAGCCATCTTCTGACTCAGAGAACAAACCTGCATGAAAACCGAGGAATAAATGAGAAATTTGTGGAGCGTGAATGATATCGATGTCTTAGGCTTGGTGTTCTGTCTGTAGTGTAGCAGGAGTGAGGATGTGGGGTTCATTTTTAATCTGATCTGTGCCTCACTTAAACCACAGTCTGAGAGACGTTAATCAATTAACAGTCAGAGGAGCCAGTGAATCTGAGTGCTGGGCACAAACCAAGCTCAGGAGAAAATGGGAACAGATTTTAACCATATGAATATTTTATAATGTATTCAGGATTGTTATTGTGGAGTGGAGTGACTGTGTATTTGCAATGCTAACTCCCTGCTCGCCAAACTGCCCAACTCTTCTATCCACAAGCTGCAGATTATTCAGAACTCACCAGCTCGTGTCCTCTCCCGCACTACACTCCGTGAGCTCATCACCACCCCCCTATTCTCGCCCGGCTTCACTGGCTCCCTGTCCCCCAGACGTCAAGATCCTCTGCCTCACTTTTCTTTAAAAAAGTCCTTCACGGACTTCCTCATTCCCACCTCTGCGACCTATTAAACCTACTGCTCCATGTCAGATGCAAACATTTCCCTGTCCAGTGCCTTGGCAATTTGTTGTTGTTAATGTTATTGTAGCCCTGTCTGGCTGTTCAGGTGGACATTAAAGATCCTGTCCTGGCCCATAAAATTGGTCACTCACTTCATATAATCATAGAATATTACAGCACAGAAAGAGGCCATCAGCCCATCATGCCTGTGCCAGATCTTTGGAAGAGCTACCCAACCAGTCCCACTTCTACGCTCTCTCCCCGTATCCCTGAGTCCTGTAGCTCAGTGGTTAGAGCACTCGCCTCGCAAGCAAGAGGACCTGGGTTTGATTCGCGGCAGGGAGAAACTTTGGGCAAGTTTCCTTACTCCACACGCCTCTGTTTACTTAGCAGTAAGTAGGAACCTGGTTGTTGGTGGATTGGTGGATCACTTTTCCAGAGATAATAATCCCTTAAAAAAATTAATAAATAATTGGTCACTCAATTCACGAGTGTTTGTGGGACGCTGCTGTGTGCAATTGGCTGCCGTGTTTCACCCACAAATATACAGTTAATTCACTTTACAATACATTCGGTGAAGCGCTTTGAGACGTCTTGATGATGGATAAGGCGCTG